ATTTTAATTGTGTTATTTTTTCATAACTAATTAATTAAGTTACCGCATTAAACTGACAGCCTTATATCATGGCAACATATTTCAGTTGATAACGATTTTGCTGTATTTTTATTGCGGTATGTAAATGTAAACATGTAGTGCAGGACTGCTTAACATTATTGACACGCTAAAGTGAGATGGAAACATGGGTGAATGAGAAAACATTCGTTTTGTTTGATAAGTTATTAAAAGTGCAATAAACTGTGCAGGAGAACTGAATTACGCACTTGCGCACTGATATTTATTTTATATTTGATGATGACTTTATTCGATTTCTGTAGTATGTCCTAACTGAATACTAGGCTAGACCAAACCGAAGAAGGAAAAGAAAAAACACGCATATTTCTTTTGTGTCATTTGTTTTGTAATTTGCTTCTTCTTATTTTATCACTTGATAGTTTATTGTTTACTTAATTGCTTAAGAAGTTTAAGGCTAGGTTTGGTGTGGTATTGAAAATTGGGGGAAGCTCCTGGCTTAACCAATGCATGATCTTCTTGTACATGCTCAAGAGGACAATAGAGTTACTTTACCTTAAAATATCTGCCACTAATGAGCCACATGTGTTACTATAACTGAAAGATTCTCTTCATCATGACATTAAAGGTATAGTTCACCCAAAAATGAAAATTCTATCTTCGATAGTCAATGGCTACTGTCAACTGTTTAGTTACCAACATTCTTTGAAATATCTTCTTTTGTGCTTGACTGAAGAAAGAAACTTGTACAAGTTTGGAACAATTTGAAGGAAAGGGTGATAGAATTCTCCTTTTTGATTGAACTATCCCTTGAAATATCATGAAAAAAAAACTGCACATAATGTAGAAGACAGTTTAAGTGAATGTCTGCTTGCAGCAATCCCGAGAACGCAATGTTTGCTTGCTTTATAACACATTTCTGAACACAACAATGCATGAAATGCATAGCCAGAAGTGTTTGCATTCACATTTTCATGTTTTGAGATGTACACCCCTTAGAAGCTCCATACGAGTACATATCTCACAATTTAGTCCGACAAAAAAGGCTTTATGAATAAACACTAAAATCAATGTCCAGACACATTTTATAGAAACCAAACATAGAAGGTTGTCTCATGACAGCATTATCTGAAGGCTGGAACGATCTCATAAGAGCAAAGCACGCCGTTTGCTACCATCACCTGCCCTACTTCCACTCAACCCTGAGAAACAAGCCCCCATCTCTCGCTTTGCGTACGATTCTTCTTGTGCAATCTCAGAGACCACAGGAGACCTGTCAGAGGAGAAGATTGCACTGATTGAAGCCACGCAGTCAAACAGATCCCGGCAGCACAGATGCAAACGTGGGCGGCACTTTTTTTTCTTTTCTTGTCTTTTTTTTTTAAGTTTCAATTTGTGCTTTTAGAAAAGTTTGTCAAACTACATCAGTGGTGTTCTGAAACTCTTGTCTGAAAAGGTGCGGCGGGCGAGCGCACACCTCCGGGTTTTCAGATTCCCTGGAATCAGTGAAGCGAATGACATTGGTGCTTTTACTCGCGTTAAACTCACAGAGACGTGGAGCTTTTTGAAGAGCAGAAGGAGAGATGGAAGGGTGGGAGGAGGAGAGATGAAGACGTGTGAAGGAGATGAGAGCAGCTGTTCTGTCTTTTCTTTGCCCAGCGTTGGTTTCACACATTTCCTCAGGGAATATTTTCACAAAACGTCTGCTACGTTTTAGCGCCACACTGCAGGTTGAATCTGTGATTCCAGCTATTTTGAGAGTCAAAATCTGTGTGACTGTTCAGTGTTTGGATAAACACCAGAAAGCTTCCCCAGTCACACTGATGACATCTCTATCAAATCACTACCTTTCTTTATGAAGGAAAAATAACACAACTGAAATGTCGCAAATAAACAAACTGGGATAAGCAAATAAATAAAATAGACCGCATTACCTCATAAGGAAATATATTATCACCACCTTAAAGCTGCTGTCTTCTTTTTTCAATATTAAAACTCAAAAGTAAAACACTCAAAGGGTGATTTATTGGGAAAAAAATACTGTGACTTACTCTGTGTTAGGCTATCAAAACATGGCTCAGGTTAGTGTTAAATGCATAATGCATAGATCAGCATTATAGCGAGTCATTTCCCATCTGAAAATATGAATATGTGCAGCAGATTTTAATACCAGTAAAATAGTAAGTGAATTCAGTCTGACTAGATTGCTTTCCTGTGATGGATAAAGCCTTTCTGTCAACTGTATCAATGGAGGTAATCTGAATCTTGCAAATATTTGTAGGTGTCGCAAAATGACTAAGGGCTAATAATAAACAAAAGAAGCCCAACAGAACCTACTACATGTAATACGAATTTTAAAATATATGAGAGAGATGTATAACACTGATGAGCCAAAGCATTATGACCAGTCACAGGTCAGGTGAAGTGAATATCGTTGATCATCTTCTAACAAGGCCACAAATTAAGGTCTGGGTAGGTTTAGGTGAAGGCTATCCCATCTTATCTGAGCTAACAGAAAGTCTACACTGTTAACACAAAATTTGAATGATGGTTAAGGGAGGAATGTCACAACACACTGTGCATCGCACTCTGCTGTGTATGAGGCTGCGTATAGCCGCAGATCAGAGTGCCTATGATGACCCCTGTCCACCATCAAAGTCGTCAACAAAGGGCACGCAAGCATCAGAACCGGATCTTGGACCAGTGGAAGAAGGTCATCTGGTCCGATGAGTCACGTTTTCTTTTACATCACATGGATGGCCATTTACCTGGGGAAGTGATGGCTCCAGGATGTAGTGTGGGGTGATGACAAGCTGGCCGGTGGAGAAAGTGTGATGCTCTGGCAAATGTTCTGCTGGGAAAGCCTGGGCCAGCTATTCACGTGCTACCTACATGAACATTGTTGCAGAGCAGGTACACCCATTTTTTGTGTTTACCTGATGGAAGTGGCCTCTTTCGGCAGAATCACACACCCTGACACACTGCACACATTGCTCAGGAATGGTTTGAGGAACATGATGAAGAGTTCAAGGTGTTGCCCTGGCCTCCAAATTCACCAAATCCCAAACCATTTGAGCATCTGTGGGATGTGCTGGACCAATACGTTCGATCCACGGCAGCTTCACACCACAAGGATCTGCTTTTAAAGGACACTTTCAAAGGTCTTGTAGAGTCCATACCTCAGTGGGATGATGCTGTTTTGGCAACTTGATACTGAATCGGTATTTATATTTCTCAGCAAGGAGGCAGTAAAATCACTGTTTTTGAAGTAACTAAACTGACAGCTTCATTGTTTGTAGACAGAGATGCACAGATTCACACAACTTTCATCCCCCCTCACCTTGATAATTAATACAAATAAATGCTATAATTCATTTATTCAAATTAGTTGTGATCTTACTGCACTACTTCATCTCTGTGTCTGATTTTAAAGTGGGCAGAATGCTAGAGCTAATGAGCCATAACTGATTAAATAACCATCATTTTTTTTAAATATCTGAATTTCTAAACTTGAATTTATATGCACTAATATACCATTACATTGTAATAAACAGTAATATGCATCTACATACAGTATATTTTTTATAAATAGGCCATAGAGACTTGAACACTTTTGTGTGATGCTGCAAATGAATCACTGAATCAGAGTATGAATCAACTAACTGAACAGAGTGATTCATCAAAATGCTAACTTTAATGCTGTTTAGATGCTATGTGTCCTAGCAAAACAAGAAAAAGTAGTAAAACTAGTCTACTCACAAAGTTTTCAGGAGACATATGTGAAATAAAGACAGAACTCATGATTTCAGGTTACGAAGAAAGAGTAAACAATGATAGTGAGGCACAACGCCAAGAACACACAGCAAGAGCAGTGCCGGTGATGAATACTAGAACTAGTATGAGCTTTGTTTTTCTCTGTCCTCAGCTGCACAGTCATTTCAATCAGAGGCAACGAAGGGCAACGCATGCACCATTTCCCTTCATTAAAGCCTAGCTGCTCCTGAGGAACGTTTGACTGACCCTTCACCCCATTACCTGGGAACATTTCTTCAGCCTTTACGTTAACTCAAGCAGACCTCTTGGCCTGCCATTTCTGCCACCTGTTATTAATTACCATGCTCAACAGCCCAACGCAGATGCTATTTACTCTGCTTACAGTAAAACAATGTTTCAGCTAATCTTAGAATCTCTTTGCTTAATAGTGTGTGGAGTTAATGTGGTGGCTTCATCATTCAAATGGCAGCCCTGGAGACTTAAGGACTGTTTCAAAAGACTATTCAGCTGTTTGCGAAATAGCTGTATTCTAGTGAAGACGAGGGCTGATGATGCTGTGTGACTGAAGTTGACCTAATTGAGCACTGCTCTTCCCAGAGGAAATGTGATTACAGCAGGTCACACTCAGTATATTCAACAATTCCAGTCAAACGACATCAAAGAGAAGCTTGTTCTATGGGATTTTCAGCTTAAACCCACATACAGGGGGAAACTGTCATCACAAACAGGGTTTGTAAAGCTCTTAAGAGAAGTCGGCGTCCCTAAACAAGCGAAACTCAGAGAGCCTTGCTTTGGTTAGGTGTGTGAAGCTGTCATCCAGCATTGCTTTCTTGAGTTTATTAAAAGCAACCAGCCATCACACAGCATTTACTTAAGAAGTGGAAAAGCATGCTGGATGACAAATCTCAACAAGACAGCAGCGCTGAAGAAAACCATCACTGGTTAAACGGTTAGTTCAATCAAAAGTGAAACTCGTGTCATCATTTAATCGTATCGTTCCAAACCCGTAGGGGACGTCTTTCTTTGAGAAGAAATTAAGATGTTTAGCAGAATCTTTGTTCTGTTCTTTTGCATTGCAAAGTGTCCAAGTCATTATTCACTGCAAATTTCAATTGTCATTTTGGAGTCAGCTACTCCTTTAAAGGGACTGGGCCATTTTGAAAGCAATTACAGCACATTTCAAGCACTTTGGGAGAACATAATGTTCCTACCTCCTTATCAGCTTTCACTGGGGCGGCCTCATCATAAAGGGTGCTGTTTTTTCCAAGACTTGATTTGTTGTAAATCTATTAATACAAAAGAGAAAGATAAAATGTGCATTCTGTTGATACTACACTAATAAAAGCATGTTACAATAACAGTTCTACAGTACTGGTTGCACTAAATATCTGAATGCAGAATTCAAGAAATAATACTATAATACTAATAATTACTATTAATGTTTGAACAACATGCAGTCAAAGAGAAATGACAGTGTCTTGCTGTATGCTTTAAGTTGACTGTTGTATTTGCAGTTTTTTTCTCATAATTTGTTTCTTTGTTCTTTATTTTGCATTATGTTTTCATTGAAATTTTATCACACTTTAGTTTGGAGACCAATTGTCACTATTAACTAACTTTTAACTATACAACTTTTGCCTCAATAAACTGCTAATTTGCTGCTTATTCATAGTAAGGAAGTTGTTAAGTTCAGGCATGTGGTAGGATTAAGGGATCTAAAATATGGTCATGCACAGTGTTGGGTAAGTTACTCAAAAAAGTAACTGACTACAAATTACTAATTACTTCTTTGAAATTGTAATTTGATTACATTACTGATTACTGCATTTGAAAAGTAATCAAATTACTAATTACTTTACTTTCAAGTTACTTTCAATTGTACTTTACTTTTCAAGTTATCAAACCTAAAAAATACACTACAAAGTGAAACTCATAGTTCTTTCAGTAATTTAATATTGACAGAAAAATTACATAGCCTAAGTATCAAAATGGCAACTTGTACGATTACTTGCATTTATTCCTGATGACAGCGAAAAGTACAAAATTTCGTAATATTTGATCGTACAGATAAGAGTAATACATCATTTGAAACTGTAAAAGATCTTTTATTTGTATACACTCGCAATACAAACAAAATATTGTGCTTTTGTAAAATTAAGAAAACAAACGGTGCGCTTCCTGCAGTCTCAGTCTCCGTGGATATCTTCCTGAAATGCGTCACTAAAATGAACGAAAACTCAGAATACTTGACACACAGACATGAGAAATATATCTAAAGAAAGCTTGAAGTGTCTGATTTTAAATGAAGCATTCAGAAGTGTTCTCTGATAAAGTAATTCGTTTGAAACCAACGTGAGGTACAGTCTTTCCCGTATGAGTTAATTATCTGTAATGTGGTCATACCCACACGCATCGCGCTATACGATAATCATCCATGTGAAACCAGGCTTGAGACACCCACATCACCGCCGTAAACTAAGCGTTAAGATTCATCAGGTTCATCTGGGCTACTTTTCGTTTTTGGAACAAGATGCACTGTGAGGAATAAGCCTTGTATTTACCTCAGAAGAAGAATGTGATGTGGCGAGCGGCTTAATCCAGCGGAGGATTGCATTCTAATGAATCATTTATTTTTCCTTATATTAGCGTTATTGTGACAAACTTGTACACATTTACTAGTTTAACTTTTCCTAAACTATAATGCCAGACTAAAATATGTGAAATCGAGTGCAACATTTTGAAATATGATATAACCTTTCATTGCAACTAAATGTTGTAGGACTCATCTGCATTTTAGCTCGCATTCTCCGGTGATTTATTAAAGGGCATACTGACGGGCAAAACATGATTTTGACTTCTTTTTTTCTTAACATTGCATTCGTAACTTAAAGCTGCAGTCCGTAACTTTTGGCACTCTAGTGGTTAATAAACAGAACTGCGTGCGTCTAGCGGAACAACAATGTAGCCGGAGCTACTTCTCTCTGTTTATGTCTATAGCGAATCACGCAGGTACTGGGCTACTTCGCAGCGGTACCTACCCCGAACCAGTCTAAATAGTCCGAATATAAACACTTATTATAGGTGTACCGTAGTGATTCAGGACAAGCCAAAAACACGGTTTGGAAAATGGATTCATGGTGTACACACTTATTATATAAATTTTGTAAATTTTGAAGAAAAAAAAAGTTACGGACTGCAGCTTTAAGTAACAATTTTATTGACATTAGGAACTGTAATCAAATTACATAAATTTAAAGTGTAATGCATTACATTACTGCATTATCAGGAAAAGTAATTAGTAATTACTGTGCAACGCTTCATACTCAACTCTGGTTATGTAGAATAAAGGCCCGTTCACACGATAACTATAAAGATAATAAAGATAACTGGTTACACTTTATTTTAAGGTGTTCTTGTTACAGTGTAATTATACATTTAAGTACTGAGTAATATTAATTGACTACATGTACTTACTATACTGTGCTTTATAATTATATATATATAAAAATATATATGTGCTTTATAATTACTAATAAACAGCCAATATGCTAAAAATATGCATGCTAATAAGCAACTAGTTAATAGTGAGAACTGGTCCCTAAAGTGTTACCTGGAATTGTCATTTAACTGCATATGCAGTTGTGGAGATCAATCATGTTTCTGCCACTAGGAGCCGTCAGCACTTACCGGAGACAGTGGGATAGGGTTCTCACGCAGATATCTGGGGTTTTCTATCTGCAAAATCAGACAATACAACACAACCTTACTCTCCTCCTCTTCTGGTAAGTCCCAAACACCTCCCATACACCTCTGACCTCCTTTTATTTGTCATAAACAATGTGGAATGACTTCAAAGAGTGCCACTTAAATACAGTCTCTTCCCTACACTGGTTGTGTTTACAGAGATCAGACCTCAGCCCACTGAGGCATTGTGTGCAGCAAGGCCATTTCCGTTTCTTTATAAAATAAAAAAATAAAAAAAAAATTTTCTTCCAGTGAGTTTGTCTTTTCTCATCATAACCCATAATCTGTAAGTAATGGGAATTTTTCCAGGACACACTATCTGTTCTCTCTGATGAGACTGTAGAAGACACATGTCTCAACACATAATGAGATGGACCATGACTGAAATATTATTCATAATAAAGCTAATATTTTCACTTTTGCTGCACAGAAAACAAATAAATATAAAAATAAATGAATACATTTATATAAAGGCTCAAAGTCAAAGAGACAAAAATGGCTAAAGGTTGGTTGTTGTTCATGTTTTTGTTTTTAGCAATTACTTCTATGTATTGGTACAGCAAAATCATTATTTATTTATTTGCTTATTTTTAATCATTATTTTTAAGTTACTTGGTGGCCAGCCATCTTTGTGTCATAATGCACAACTTTTTTATTTGTTTTGTTTATTTATTTATTTTAAGTAATAGTGTGCATGCAGGAACATTTCAGGTTTTAGACTACCAGATTAAACTGGTTACAGAACTAGGGCTATTAAAAACACAAGTTGGGAAAAGCCTAATTTATTCACATGTTTGGAGAAATTAACAAATGTAATATAAGCCTGAACAGCATAGTTCTCAACTGGGGGCCAGTGCCCACCCAGTAGGGGGCAAATTTCCAAGGCAGAGATAATATATGTTGTAATATACGATTGTTAGTATACCAACAAACTAATTTTCACACTGTTTCTAAATAGATTTGTAGAGTGTCAAAAATCCACACATGGTGTGAAAAAGCCAACTGTAAGTCAACAGAGTCAAGATAAGTAAGCCATTATGAAGAGCATATACTGTTTGACGGTGTATTCTGGCTCAAACAAAGGCATTACTCTGGGAAGTGTCTTGGAAAATATTTTCAGACAGTCTTTATTTTCACAATTACATTTTTTGTGACATTAGCAGCATAGCATTTACAAATTTACCAGTCACAATGACCCAGTCAAAAATTTTCAAAGCAAATTTTGTAAGTGCACACTACTCAAACACAGCGTGAGTGTAATGTGACTCTGAACTCGAAATGAATCATCAGGCCAAAGGAACCGGACGGCAGCAGTGTGTTATCGCAGCGGTTTCCAGACAGAACGGAGCGGTGCTGTGCTTCACGTCCACACATGATGCAGCTGTTGATTAGTCCAGCATCAGTGCCCACAGAACAGGGGCCCGGAGCCGCTGAAAACCTGCCCGCAAGTGCACATACTAATCTCAACACTCCACTCTCTGATAAGAGCAAAGTTCAGACTCTTGTTTTTCTGCATAAACTTTGTGATGAAACAAGCAGCCGGACAGTTTCGCAATCTGTGGGGAAGTCAGAAGTGGCTATTGAGAAAATCTGGAGCCCAACACAGTCCTATAAAGCTTCAAACGCTTTGATCCCAAGAACTCCGCATGCCAACGTGTTGAGCAATCATTGCAGCACATTTTTCCTCTTTTTTCCTTTAATCTGATAAATATTATTTTGAGCCCGAGGAACTGTGGCTAGAAAAGGGCTGTTTGAGAAAATATAACAAAAAAAAGAAGACCCGACGTACTGTGGTTTTGTCCGATGTACTGTGACAAACATTGTTATATATTTTTTTTTTAACAGTTGCAGAAGTTGAAGCAGTTATAATTCTGTTAAGATTCTAAAGTAATTGAATCAGCCCGACGTAGTGTGGTAGCAGAGTTGTATTAGACCTTTTGTTTCTAAAGTAACTGAAACAGAGTTGTACGTTTCTAAAGTAACTGAAACAGAGTGAGTTGTGATAATTCTGATAAAATTCTAAAGTAACTGAATTGACCCGATGCAGTGTGGTCACAGAATTATTTAATAAGTATGGTGTTTTTGTGTTGATTTGCCCGACTACTGTGGCTAAGTAAACTGTTTTAAAAATATAACATAAAACCCGAAGTAGTGTGGGTTTTGTCCGACGTAGGCTACTGACAGTGTTACATTTTTAACAGCTTAGTGTAGAAAAGTTTAGAGACCCAACGTAGTGTGGCTGTTTAATTCATTTGTGGCCAAAGCACAGGAGCTGTGAATAATTAGACTAACAGGTATCTTAAAGTAACTAGATGATGTTCAGTCAGTGAAGGAAAAGAAGCCTATTGAATTGCTGAACACAATTCAATAAGATTGTGAAAATGGCAGAGTTGATAGTTAAATACATCGCTAAGCACGGCTCAGTGGGAATGCTTCCAAATATGTGGGAACGGAAGGCTATCACTTTCATTGTGAACCGCAATTTACATTTAAGACGAAACTTCATTTACATGTCTAGCGGGAAGATGAACGTAATAGAGTATAAAATGTTTGAGCGTAGGAGGCTCGGGGTTCAGTCTGACTCCGTTGAACCCAAGGTACTACACGTACTTTGTCACTACTATTCCGTAATAAAAGTTATTCTTCATTAAGATCTTCGACGTCTTCACTTTTTCTTACACTGGGGTACTTGTAACAGTGATTCCAGGTATCCTGAGATAATTGGCAATGGAATTTATTTTATTCCATTTCCTGAACCCAAACAAAACAGAACAAAATGTCCGTAAACTCTAATCCCAATTTTCTGTTTGTCATACTCTCATACAGTTTTTTATCAGCTCAAGCAGAACGTTAATGTCATCTTGCATTTCAGCAAGGTATCTCTGGTTAAAACTAGCTAACGTTGAAGTTAGTGAGTCCATGCTAAGATACAAACCTAAATAGCGGACTGTTCTTGCATCTTGTACAGTGTAGGTCAAAAACACATAAACGAAGGTCTACATTTCAGTGCCTCTCCATATTAAACTGGTTAAATGTAAATTAATTTAATCGTACCCTGCGATACATGAACAGTGTTGATCCTGCATGTTGTCATCCACGATCGTGACGAGCGTAACATGAGGCTTCTCCTGCTTGCATTGTGAACTGTAAACCCTCACTTTGAGTTACCCACCAGTTATTTTAAAATCTTTTATATATCCCTCCATGGCATATTTAATTCCCACTTGAATGGTGGTCCTTCTGTTTCCAAAATTTTTCAAGAATATCTTGTGACAAGGTTTTCACACGGATAGCTGTCATTGTAAGACAGTGAGCAGCTCCGTTTGTTTGTCCGAGGGAGCAACAATAAGTAAGGTTACCGATAGGTCAATTGGCTTCATCAGCCACACCAGCCACCTACACCCGTTCACAATCACCTGATTACTAATTACGAACACCTGATGCCACTTACCTTAGCACTGTATCTGTTCACTCACCTCAGTCTCTCATTGACTGGTCTCAAGGTTGCATACCTTACCTCATGCCTCTTAACATCATTCTGGATCTCCGTGGCTCTGTGTCTCCCGCCGTCTTGCTGGATCTACCTAAAGAGGATTAAGATAAGGAATGTTACTCTTCAGTTTCAAGAGCTAATGTTATGTTTCAGTTTTAAAACTTACCGTTTGAAGCTCTCCTTCAGTTTGTGTAAATAAAGAAGCTCTGAATCGTTCTTCCTGTGTATGCCTCTCTATCCAGCCGTGACAGAAGACCAGACCATCAAAACAGAAGTGAAATTTAACGGATTGAAGCTTGCTATGGAGGCACAGAGATCACTCACCCCAGATCCCTTCACTGAACTGGTTCAAGCACTCTGCGAATCCCGTCAGCCTCCTCCCGTCATGCTATCTGCCTCTGCATGTACCATGGCCAAACCCGCGACCTACTCCGGTGAGGCGGCCGCCTGCAGCAGTTTTCTACTCAAGTGTTCACTATACTTCGAATTACAACCCCATCAGTTTGTGAATGATCAAGCGAAGATTGTATTCATCATGTCACTACTGTCTGGTAGGGCGCTGCAATGGGCCGAAGCTCTCTGGAATTCGCGCAGTCTCCTAGTGCGCTCCTATGATGCCTTTGTGGATCATTTCCGCGAGGTGTTTGGCAAAACTACCTCGGCGGTCTCTGTGCACGATGAGCTCTTTCGACTACGGCAAGCGAATATGTCCATCCATGACTATACAGTTCGATTCCGTACCCTCGCGGCAAGCGGTGGATGGAATGAAACGGCCCTCTATCAGTGTTCCGACGTGGTCTAAACCCTTCAATCAGACAGCAAATGTCTATCTATGAAGACACCGTAGGTCTAGAGAGCTTTCTGCAAAAAGCGCTGCACATCTCCCAACATCTAACCGCTTGTCACATCGAGGATTCCTCATCCGCTGCCGCCTCACGGAGTAATGCTCCTCCAGCACCCGAGCCGATGCAAACCAACCGTTCTCGTCTATCAACCACGGAACGGGCTCGCTGAATCACCCAAGGGCTCTGTCTTTACTGTGGGTCCCAGGAGCACCTTCTGCCCTCCTGCCCTATTTGCCCCACACGCTCAGCGGTGAGTACGGTCCATATTCATTCTGATGTCTCAAGTTTGCCTCACATTGCTGCCCTTCTAATGTATATGAACCACTCTTTTCCAGTCAAAGTCTTGGTGGATTCGGGAGCTTCAGGAAATTTCATATCCTCCATCAGTCTCACTCAAATCAAGCTCCCTCGACACCGTAATTCCACCATCGACCAAATCTCCAATATACAAGGAAAGCCGCTGAGCAAAGGGTCAGTGCGCCATCGCACCCCAGAAGTCACTCTTCGCATCGGAAACTTTCATGCTGAACGAATTTCGTTCCTCGTGCTGGAGGAAGTCACTATTCGCATCGGAAACTTCCATGCTGAACGGATTTCGTTCCTGGTGCTGGAGGAGGCTACAGTAGATATCGTCCTGGGGCGTCCCTGGCTGGCTAAACATCATCCAGACATCCACTGGAACTCTGGGGAAATACTTCGGTGGAGTGAATCCTGTTTCAGGACATGTTTAGCAGATCTCCCTCTTCCAGACCGAGCTAAGCTCTCCATCCCGCTCTGATCTACCACTATAGAGAGCCCAGCTTCACAAAGCTCAGTCCACATTCCAGCCACCTACAGGGCGTTCCAGGACGTGTTCAGCAAGGTCGCAGCAACCCATTTTTCACCTCATCGGCCATGGGATTGTGCGATCGACCTGCTGCCTGGGGCCAAATTACCTAAGGGACATGTCTATCCCCTATCGATCCCGGAGCGCGCTGCTATGGAGGAGTACATCAAGGAGGCATTACATCAGGGGTTCATCCGTCCTTCCACTTCTCCTGCAGCATCCAGTTTCTTCTTTGTGGCGAAGAAGGATGGGGGCCTACGCCCTTGTATCGACTATCGAGCACTCAACTCCCAAACCATCAAATTTTCCTATCCACTCCCTCTGGTGCCAGCCTCGTTGGAGGAACTCCGTGGTGCCCGGATCTTCACAAAACTCGATCTATGCAGTGCCTACAATCTAATCCGCATTCGAAGAGGAGCCGAATGGAAAACTGCATTCATAACACCATCCGGGCACTAAGAGTACCTGGTAATGCCGTATGGATTTTCAAACTCACCATCCATCTTCCAAAACTTCATGAATGAGATCTTCCGTGATATGCTCAACCAATTCGTAATCATCTACATCGACGACATTCTCATCTACTCACCCAATCTTAAGGAACACCAACAACATGTTTTCCAGGTACTCCAATGTCTCCGCGAGCATCACCTCTACCTCAAGCAAGAAAAGTGTGAGTTCCATCAAGCCACCATTCAATTCCTGGGCTACATTATCACACCAGAGGGAGTCCAAACGGACCAGAACAAGGTGGAAGCAGTGAGGAATTGGCCACAACCCACCACGGTCAAAGAGCTGCAGAGATTCTTGGGATTCGCAAACTTCAATCCACTTACCTCTCTCCTCCGTCAGAAACCTTAGACCCTCTCCTGGACACCTGAAGCCACACAGGCATTTCTGCAGCTCAAATCCTCTTTCTGCACCGCTCCAGCCCTAACCCATCCAGATCCGAACCATCAGTTCGTGGTGGAAGTGGATGTTTCCACTCTGGGAGTAGGTGCAGTATTATCCCAATGGAAGGGTGAACCCCCCGTACTCCATCCATGCGCATACTTCTCCAAGAAGATGTCCCCGGCAGAACAAAATTACGACATCGGGAACCGCGAGTTACTAGCCATCAAACTCGCGCTGGAAGAGTGTCGGCACTGGTTGGAAGGGGCTCAACATCCCTTCGAAGTCATAACTGATCACAAGAACCTCCAATACCTCCGTGAAACTAAACGTCTCAATCCCCGACAAGCCTGATGGGCCTAATTCTTTACCTGTTTCCAATTCACAGTAACCTACCGTCCTGGGCATAAGAACTTCAAAGCATACGTTTTATCACGACTTCACCAACCAGATCCATCTCCAGATAACCCGGAACCCATTCTTTCACCCACTGTGTTCGCATGTCCAATCACCTGGGAAGTGAATGATCAAATTCGTGCCGCCACTCTCAGAGAACCTGCTCCACCGGGAGGTCCGGAAGAGAGACTTTATGTACCTACCACTCTATGTCTTACCCTTCTGGACTCCATCCACACTTCTCCGGGATCGTGAATGATCAAATTCGTGCCGCCACTCTCAGAGAACCTGCTCCACCGGGAGGTCCGGAAGAGAGACTTTATGTACCTACCACTCTATGTCTTACCCTTCTGGACTCCATCCACACTTCTCCAGGATCGGGTCACCCAGGCAGCCAACGAACCCTCTCGCTCCTCCGGAACAGATACTGGTGGCCCAGCATGGCTCAGGATGTCGCCCGCTACGTCAAGGGTTGTTCGGTCTGTGTCATCACATCCACTCCACGCCGTTTACCTGCAGGAAAACTGGTTCCCTTACCTATTCCACGTCGACCCTAGTCCCACATTGGAATCGATTTCACCACTGATCTTCCACCCTCTAAAGGATTCACTACCATATTTGTCGTGGTGGACAGATTCTCCAAAACCTGTCAATTAATCCCCTTACGTGGATTACCCACTGCTTTGGAGGCAGCCGAAGCTCTCTCAGCATGTCTTTCGACACTTTGGTCTCCCTGAAGATATCGTTTTAGATAGAGGGCCTCTGGCGTGGTTTCTTCCGTCTGCTGGGAGTGTCTGTCAGCCTTTCCTCAGGTTATCATCCCCAAACCAATGGCCAGACCGAACGCAAGATCCAGGAGATCGGGCGGTATCTCCGAGCCTACAGTCATGAACACCAGGACAGTAAATTACCTCATGCCTCTCCACATCACTCTGGATCTCCGTGGCTCTGTGTCTCCCGCCGTCTTGCTGTATCTACCTAAAGAGGATTAAGATAAGGACTGTTACTCTTCAGTTTCAAGAGCTAATGTTATGTTTCAGTTTTAAAACTTACCGTTTGAAGCTCTCCTTCAGTTTGTGTAAATAAAGAAGCTCTGAATCGTTCTTCCTGAGTATGCCTCTATCCAGCCGTGACACCTACACTAAAGTGTAACATTTTTTTCCATAATATAATTTTGTTTTTCATAATCTAAAATATACTACAACTCATAGTCCAATGTGACGTATATATAATAAAATTAGCATCAAGCACGCAAAACATGTGCAAACTGTATACATTCAGATTTATACTGAATAAGAGCCCAAAATTATTTGTATAGAGAATGGTAGTTTTAGTTTTGCTTTAAATAAATTTGTTTAGGCTTGACGTTTATAATAAATGTTATTTAAAATGAATAATTAATTTGCTTTATACTTTCATTGTTCATTCCGGTTCAGTTCTGAATACTGTTAAATTAAAAGGATTTGTTGTGGAGTGAGGGAAACTAAATTACTGTTCATGTCTATAATGTTTATATTGATTATAAATGTCATGTTTTATTTACCGTATTTTACATTATTTCTGAAAGTAATAATGAAATAAAATGACTTATACGACAATGCGAGTTATCTCTCAACAATGCAATCTGGCATACTTTACTGAGACTTTAAGTGAGAAGGTGCAATACAAATAGCACTGACTTCTGTGAAAATTCCATAATAAGCCTAATTTATATGCATGCACTGAAAAGAATGATAGTAACTTAATTTAAATGCACATGGCACCTCACTGTACTGGATAGCACCTAGTTAAACTGACTGATATTGTTGGATGTGAATAATGATTGAATACTGCACACGAAAGTGGAACAACTGTTCACTGCTTCATCACTGTTTCATAAACAGGAACAACATTCATCATATTGTGTTCTCATTATTAAAATGATCATTCAAGGTCTCCATGACAGTCCAGATCAATGAAATGTGAACATTCATACCAACAAACCGTCAGATATGAAAATACATGTTGAAGTGAAACTGAATTTGTTTACGAATGGGAGGAAAATACATAAAATCAAAAACATCCAACTTTACCCCCAGGTTCCAGCTGTTGAAGCGAGCCTCAAAGTCACTATCATCAGAGGAGATGGGCGGCCTCCTGTGTGCCTCCGCCTGGAAGAGAAACAGACAGTGAGCAACAAAGAAATGATAAACCATGTCCAGGGATGGAGAGCGCTCTGGGAATTCTGAGTTATCCACCAATGTGTTGAACTAAAGAGACTGTAAAATCTGCTAGACATGGGCACAGATTAAGAAACCTCAATCTACAAATGCTTAACTTTATTATAATAACATTATAATGTAACATTCTACAATAAGTAACATTTATAAGATAACGTGACTTTTGGAACAACTTTGACACCTCTTTTTATCATCTGGCTGCACAGCAAAGAACAGATTTTGACCGTAAACATCAAATCATAAGATACTGAAATATAGAACATTTGTCGTGAGCTATGAAAGATACTGTATAAATCACCATAGAGACTTATAAAATTGTTCTAAAAACGAAAGATTTCTTTTTTTTTTGACATGATGTATATTTTGACAAATTATAATATATAATATATTTTGATATATATTTTTGATATTTTTAGAAATTTAATACATTTTTTTTTTTTTTTTTTAATATAGAAAAGAGAGAGAGAGATTGATCAAGTAACAGAGATGGCTGTAGATATGGACATACTCCCCTCATGGCACACCAGATGTTTGACATTTCCACATTATTTCTGCTTTCTCCTTCACATGCAGTAAATTCCTGCAGAGCGTCACATGACATACCGCCCCTCTTTGTTTTCAGGCGCTGGTCTTTTGTCAGGATAATCCAGTTCTTTAAGAGCTCTATATAATTTGAATGTTTCCAGGGAACTGTTGTTTCAAGTTCACTTTTGCCTCATCAGGAAAGAGTAGCAAAGAAATATCCAATAAAGCTCAATTCTAATGAAGTACATGGATACTGTTGACACTTAATAGGACTGTGGGAAGGGGATAGTTCACACAGAGCAAATAACTCACATTAAAGGAAGGTGTCTGAACCCATATCAGATAAAAACTGGGACACATGGGAACATTCCTGGTTATAACCCAAAGCTATAAGAACTTGTGCAGACGTTGTGTTAAGGTTTCAATGTTTTATTAAAGAAACTGGATAAGTTGATTTCATGACAGTTTTAAGTTCTTACTTAAAATGAGCTTCTTGTCTTCCCTGCCACTCCAACTCTACAGCATGATTTCACCATCCAGCTAGGTTCTTCTACAATTACCCCATCAACTTCGGTCAGAAATCTTGGTGTAATCTTTGATGACCAGCTGACCTTCAAAGACCACATTGCAAAGACTGCTCGATCTTGCAGCAGTTTCCCCTGCCATTATATTATGGGGGCGGCCCGCCCCCCCCTTGAAGGTCAAGTTAATTTTATTTAATTTTATATTCTCTATAGCGCCAGATCACAACAGAAGTCATTTTAAATTACCTTTCCTATAGAACGTCTATACCTTGTTTTTTTATTAAACAAACTAAATAGCCTTATGTTATTTATCTTATTTACACGACGGCATGTCATTTCTGTCTCTTCTTAGTATTTGTAAATATTAAAGGGGTCATATGATGCGATTTCAATTTTTCCTTTCTCTTTGGAGTGTTACAAGCTCTTGGTGCATAAAGAAGATCTGTAAAGTTGCAAAGACTAAAGTCTCAAATCCAAAGAGATATTCTTTATAAAAGTTAAGAGTCAGCCACACCTACCTAAAACGGCTCGTTCTAACACGCCCCAACATACCTACGTCGCTCTGTGGGGGGGTAATTCTCAACATGCCATTAGGTCGTAAATGGATCTGGTCTAGCAGAGGTGTCATGGTTGCCATGGGGACCAGGGGCCTGTTCGGCTTCCTGGGGTGTTACGCATTTCGGGGGAAGGGTCCATAGGTCCTCGTATGGCTTGTTAACTGAGGGGTGTTACAGAGTATTTGTTAAATATAGCTAACAAAATATATATTGTGTGTTTGATTGGTCCAGACGCTACACAGCTGACCTTCAAAGACCACATTGCAAAGACTGCTCGATCTTGCAGGTTTGCATTGCACACCATCAGAAAGATCAGGCCCTTTCTAACGGAGCATGCTGCACAACTTCTTGTCCAGGCCCTTGTCATTTCTAGGCTGGACTACTGCAATGCTCTTCTGGCTGGACTTCCATCAAGCACAATCACAACTCTAAAAATTATTCAGAATGCAGCGGCACGACTGGTCTTCAATGAGTCCAAAAGAGCCCATGTTACACCTCTCTTTATCTCCTTGCACTGGCTACCGGTCGCGGCTCGAATTCTTCCCACCCCTATCCGGAATGCTGAATCCCTGACAATTTTCAAGCGACAGCTGAAAACTCATCTCTTTCAATGCTACTTGACTTCACCTTAAATTAAAAAAAAATAAAAAAAACTTTGTCTTTCTCTTTATTTATTCCTTCCCTTTCTAGCTTGTACTTATTTGAACAATGCCTAAAACTTGGTATTACAAGCACTTCCTGTGTCTGTTTGCCTCTTTAAGAAGAATCACTTTATGTATTCCCCAATTGTAAGTCGCTTTGGATTAAAGCGTCTGCAAAATGACTAAATGTAAATGTAAATGTCTTACCATCTTGACATCATCCTTGATATCGCGTTTGATGGGACTTGAGGACAGGGGTCTGGTCGGTGACTTATCATTGAACAAATTCCTCTTCCTGTGGAAGAGAAAAAACTTTTAGCTCCCTTACACTAGATCAGGGGTGTCAAACTCCTTTTCACTGAGGGCCACTTCAACATTATGGCTGCCATCAAAGGGCCGTTTGTAACTGTAAGACTGTACAAATGTTACTAACATATTGTTAAATAACTGTCTCTTTATGTTATTATTACTTATTTAAGTTACAAATATTGCATGCATTTGCAGAGATAAGTTATTTTAACATAAATCCTTTTCATTTATCAGGTTAAGAAATCCAAATTACTCTATAAATCAAAGTAAATAATAAAGACAAGTATCATCAAACACAAGTCATTACATTAACTTTGTTAAAAACTTTTTTTGTTACATTTATGGCACAACAAATAATTGTGAGCTGCTAAGAACGTGTGACAGATATGGCATGAGTCCGGTCTCATGAAAATGCGTATCAATAGCACGATTTTCTGTTTCTATTTGGCATGC